TACTCCACATAGAAACACAGCTGGCAGCTCTTTGACACATAAAGCATTCGGCATTCATTCAAATAACACAAAGAGTGCACATGCTAGCAGAGAGACCGCATGCACACACACACACACACACACACACACACACACAAGAGACTGCCTGAGGTGCTGACAGCATTCTGGCACAACTCCCCTTATTTATTTGCCTCTTAAGAAGGAAGAGAAGTAGGAAGCGCTCCAGTGACTACTTGAACTTCCTGACAAGTCCACCCGCTGACAGATTGATATCTCGCTGAGTCTCAGCTGTTTGTTTTCTGAGAGCTGGCCTCTCAGAAGAGGGGGAAGGGTGACACAGGGGAGCACACAGCAGATAAGGGTTGCTCTGTGTTTGCGTGGGCTGATGTTGATTGTGTCCAAGAGTAGGTGAAATGTATACGTCATGCATACTTCTGTATTTTGCCTTCCTTTATCTGTCAGCCCATGAATATTCTTGAATGAGTCAGCTAAGCAGAATCTTTCCTTGTCCCTTGCTGGGTATAAAGTGGAATGATTTAGTCAGATTGGATCGAGATTTTATAAACTTGACCTGTGGGTAGAATTCGGCGGAAGATAAATACTATTTATAAATCAGTCATGTGTTATGACTTGTATATTTCCACTACATCAAGCATCTTTAAGAAGTATTTATGTCTGGGTAAAATCACTGATTCATTAGTCATATTCAGATAAAAAACAAATTCTTATTCTGTCTTTCCTGTCCTGCCTATGGTGGACAATACCTACAACTGGCCAGTACTCTAATGCAAACAACATACTGTACCCACTAACTCCATGCTATCTGTATCCTGATCAGGGGCCTGTTGTTTCACCTGTGATGTCCACTTTCAGAGACTTTTCAGAGCCAGGGCAAGTCTGGGAGACAGTGCATAGACAGGCACACACACTAGATAAAAACACACATAGTTATCTTATCTTTAAAGCATAAAGCAACAGGTTGGACTGATGAAAAATGCGCAGTGATTTCAACAAAGAAGTCATGATCACAGTAATGTGTTACTCAACTGGAAGATGATACTGTTATGCCGACTGGACTGTATGTCTAAAAATAGTATTACTGGATTTTAATGTCACTTCTCTATTCTTTATTTGTCCCACAGAACAGAGTCAAGCTCAGGAGAAGGCAACAAGGAAACCAGGACACAGCGTAAAAGAAATCCTCAGAGACGAGCCTTCAAAATCACTGAATACCTGCCCCCGACATCTGGAGAGTCCTTTGTCTCAGACCAACCTCTCAGTAGGTTTTCCTCTGTGCCCGCGTGTTGTCTACCCAATCCAGCCCCACTCTATGGAATCTATCCATGGCCATAGATATGCAACTCTACCATCTCTGCCATCCTGTAGCCCTCCAGCTGCCAAAAGCCCAGCTCTAAGTAGTCCTGTCCCCTCTTTGCACTTCACCTTTCAGCGAAGACAAGACCCTGTAATAGCCAAACCTTACCAAGAGCCCTCTGTGCCTGATCGAGTTTATCCTACTCTGAGGCACGCTCCCTATCTATTGCCTCACTTCTCACTTGGCCTTAACAGCATTTTACCTCATTCATACCCAGTCTACAGCGATCGACTGAAACCTCACTTAACACTCTCATCTCATTTGATGCCTTTTGGCAGCTATGCACACATTTTCCATCCTCCGGCCAACGGACACAAAGACTTATCACTTGCACTATCCAACACCAAACAAGACCTCATCCTCTCACCAACCAGTGAGCACGAAGACAACAAGGACTTCATCTCCAAACGGACAAACTACCTCAGGATCCCCTCAGATGACCTCAGAGATTTCAAACACTCTCCTCCCAGAAATGTCCATGCAGAGCTCTCTATACCTGCCACGTCCAGTGCCTCATTCATGGTCACCTCGCAGAGTCGCAGAGCACTGCCCTCTCTTGCACCTGGAGGATGCTCACCACCAGTGGGCATGGCTGCCTTTTCAGACTGCCTCCCTTCCAAACCCACCTCTGCCTCTCAGAGTAATACTGAGGATGCAGTGGACCTCACAAAAACCCAAGAAGGTGGGCAGATTATTGGCTACAAGACCCTGTCTTACCCCCTCACCAGGCAGAATGGAAAGATCCGGTATGAGTGCAACGTCTGTGGAAAGGTCTTTGGGCAGCTGTCTAACCTCAAGGTTAGTTCCTTTTTCATCATATTAGTAGAGCAGGTTGGGGAAAAGAATAACAGCCACCTATTAAATCCAGTGGCTGTAAACTTACTTGAACAACACTTAGTGGCTAAAGAATATCAGAATTTACCCGCCACAATGGTTTCTTGAGTTTGAAATAAAAAATAAATGTAAATATTCATCCTTGAGGTCTCTCATCTCTCTCAGGTCCATCTGCGAGTGCACAGCGGAGAGCGTCCCTTCAGGTGTCAGACCTGCAACAAGAACTTCACTCAGCTGGCCCACCTGCAGAAACACTACCTGGTTCACACAGGAGAGAAGCCTCATGAATGCAAGGTATGGCTACAGCGGTTAAAGAAATAGATTTATACCACTCTCACATGTGTATGGTATAAATGTAGTAGGAGCCAGCAGTCAATTAGCTTAGCCTACCATAAAAACTGGAAACTCTGTCCAAAGGTAACAAATCTGGTGACCAGCACCTCCAAAGCTCACTAATGTAATTTTGTTAGTTCAATCAATATAAAAATACAAAGTGTAAAAATGGCAATTTACTGTTTTACGTTGGGTTTTGTGTTCGATTATTTCTTGGCCTTCTCTGCTGATTACATGGGAATTGCTCCATGTCAAGAAATAGTCAAGCGCATAACCCCCATTAAACCCACTTCTTGCTGTTTTTAAATTACAACAAAGGATGTATAATTATAGCTTTAATGTTCATGAATCATCCTCAATGTTGGTGTGTGTGACAGGCTTTCATCACACTTCAGAATGAAAACTAATGTCAGTAACTGTGACTAAGACAAAAAAAATCCTAAACACTGAAAAACATTTTCTCCTTGGCTCTGTTTTGACACAGGTGTGCCATAGGCGGTTCAGCAGCACTAGTAACTTGAAGACCCACCAGCGGCTACACTCAGGCGAGAGGCCTTACCAGTGCAAGCTCTGCCCAGCCCGCTTTACACAATTCGTCCACCTCAAGCTCCACAAACGCCTCCACACGGAAGAACGACCTCACAGGTGTCCTCGCTGCCCCTGTGCCTATCTCCACTACTGCAGCCTCCAGGTGCACCTCCAAGGCTTCTGCCCTTTCTCACCCTTGGCCTCCCAAAGGCACTCGCCAGAGGAGCTACGCCAAGTCAACTCCGAGATTGAGAGGTTTGACATGAGTGAGGCAGCAGAGCAGCTCGAGGCCATGGCTGCGGAGCCCGAGATGGACAAGAGGAATGTAACTGACCTAATAAAGAAGATGGAGACTCATACCTGTGGCCACCCGGTCAACGCCAGAGAGGGGGCTGAGCTGAGCGTCTACAAAGCAAAGCAGTGTTCTGCTGTTCAGTTGCACCATGGCAGCCCTCTACCTCTACATCCAGCCAGCATCAAGCTGGAGTCAGGCTGCATATCAGAGCCCTAAAACAGCCTCCCTAAGACAGCCTTGCTAATCCAGCCACATAATCCTTACAGGTCAACTCAGCAGCTGTCTGTTACTGCCCTATTTGAAGTAAAGCCTTATCTCAATCATGGATTGCCTGACCTATACTATACAGAGGCTGTGGCGTGTGAAGAATCAAGACTTTTCCAGCATGGCCTGGGACCAGTGGCTTGATTCATTTATAGATATTTGTTAATTTATTCTGTTGCTAATATTAATCTAAAATGTATATAAAAAAACATTTTCTGTTTTGTTTTGTATCTCCCAAACATCTTCACAGAACAAAAACTAAACTTGTGATTATAACAAAGTTTCCCTTTTTTGTGGTTTCAAGGTGTGAGACTGGGTGTTCCTGTTTGTGTGTGTTTCCTAATTAAGATAACAATTTCTGTATAGGCATGACTACGCAGTGTAAGTGAGCTAAGGGTTGAAGTGATAACACAGAGGAAACCTCAGTTGTATGTGCGTAACGTACATACTTGCCTGTGTGTGTGCCGATGTGAGGAGTTGGTGACGTAGGTAAACATCCTGTTATGAGTCTTGGGATGCTCACCGCCAGTAAGTGTCAACGCTTCACCCTGGAAAAAAACCCAACACACAACAAAATGATATTCACTATTAATAAGATCATATACTGTTCAATTTGTACATGCACTTCTATATTTTAGTTTTAGTATTAATCAGCTGACAGGCAGTACACCCACAACAGATGACTCCACAGTTTATTCCGATATATAAAAACACATGTTAGATTATTGTTGAGTGCACTTCTCTGTCAAGAATAATGACATTTACCAACCATATATGTTAGGTAAAAACTGTATGCACGATGCACATATAGCCTACATATAAATAACATAACAGGTTGCTGCAGGCCAGACATGCTCTGCGACTTTCTGTGGGGCAGCATTGTGTTATCCTCATATTACAATTTAAAAAGGGTGTCAGGTGTTGAATTGTTCAAAGTGGCTAGCAAATGATGAGACAACTTACAGAGCATGCACCTTCAATGCTGATTGAACACACACTGCTGATGTTGTCAAAGCCATAGACTGTATCTATGATCACAGCGTGCCTGCCAGCTGCTCTGGAGCTGACCCCTTCTTTTCTACCTCTCTGGTTAGCATAGTGCTGAATAACTCTTGGGGGAAAAAAGACACCTGGGCTGACCCTGGCCTGCATGGGAGGAAAGTCAAACTCTGATTAAAAAGTATCATTATTAAACGTAGCATAAGTAATAGCCTATATATGTAATGTAATTAGTAAGAAACATTAGGACATTTCTGAGAGGTAAAGTTTCCAAAGTACAGGGAGGTGAGCAGTGTACAGTAACGATCAGTATACTGATGCCCCTTTAAAACCACGCAGTGACGTCATTTATTTTTGACGGTGGGCAGGCAGCGGGAGAAGAAGGGAGCGGATGTGCACAGGCTGAAGGATGCCCAGGATAATGTCCCCGGTTTGTTCCCTTTCCCTCCTACCCGTATCATGATAAACGCTGCTGGGGCGGTGGCCCGCAGGATGCCGTCGGCGGCCCGGCGGAGCGGGTGCTGGATAGCGTGGTGCCAGGCGGTCCTGTTTGGCGTGTCGGCGCTGGTAATCGTGGCCGAACGGAGCGCTCGTAAGTGGGCATTGAAATCCCCGCGCTAGCGGGCTGCTAGTGTGCTGATGTGGGCTGAAACTGAATATGAAAGGATGACATGGGGATGTTGTATTCGTGTGGTATTTTCTTTGGCTTTAATGAGTGAAGAAATCCTGTTGCTCAGCCGTGATGCTTCGTGCTGGAGCTTAACGTTACCCAGCAGCAGCAGCAGGTTAGAAACACAATTCTAATGGTGATGCTAAAGCACAGCCGTCCCTGCTGAATTGGCAAACCCAGCAGTTCTTTTCTTTTCAGTTAACATTGGCAGTGGTTGGCCCAGCACGGATGGCCAAACTAAGGCCCCAAAACCTCCAGGGGCCATTCAGTAGGGTCACAAAGCCGAACCTCCGCAGTGAAAGGCTGACCTTGATGTCTATAGGAATAATGCTCACCTTTACAAATGTATCTGGCACCTTCCCTCCAAAACATATACCATTAAATAGGTTATCTTAGTTATTACTAGTGTTATTATATTTCAAACAAAGCACATCTGGAGTCTGTATTGAAAGCAGTGTGCAGCACTCCCAGGTGTGTTGATTCCCTGACTAAGCAGATCAGTGGGGCAAGGGCAGGACAAAAGAGAGACGAGGTGACTGGGTGTGTACGAAGTGTGACTTTGCCTTCAGCAGGTATACCATTCTCAGAAGATAAAAATACTGTGCATAGGCTCCAAACTGGAGTCAACCTGTCACAGAAAAATGAAGCAGTTAGTTAAAATGATCAATAGCCTATTAGAAGTCCTTATTTTCACAGTCCAAGAGGTCTCATGTAACAGGACAAGTAATTGCATGCTGTATTTAAGCCAGGAGTCAGTCTCTTCTTGGTGGAGTCTGTATCATCCCATTAGAACAAGCTTCCTCTTAAATTAAAGGACAATTGCCTTGAGCAAGATGTATGTGCTCTTTAATTTCTCAAGGACTCTGCTGGCCTCTGCAGCTCTCAACAAATCCTCATGCATATGCTATTTTGGGTTTTATGTGCTGTTTACTTTAAAAACTGCATAACACATAATATGATAAATCAGCCTGTACTAAATTATATGAAAACATATGCCACTTTATATACAAACATAGTTATACCACCTTGTATCTGTGTGTCTGGATCTGTTGTTTGTGTGCGTGTTAGTAATCTATTGTATAGGGTTTTACCTTTGGAATGAAGAGACGCAGTGGGCGGGCCTCACTCTCGGCCTCTTTCTACCAGGGACAGCAGTTCAACTGCTAAGTATGAAATGGTATTATGATGATGGTGATGACAGGCGGTTGTACCTCTCTGTCATACACATACTTCACTTGGGCATTTTCAGAAGGTAAGATCTTTGCAACTCCAGATATTATATTACCAAATAATGCACCATTTGCAATAAAGAAGAACACAGAAGATATTCTATTAATATCAATCTGTCATTGAAACCTTCCACAAGAAGTTATGGTGTATCACTTCTCTGGTATCTGTCTCTGTCTCCCTCTTCTGGCAGGTTATGGGACTGCATGAGGTCTGTGTTGCGCATGCAGGACTCCTGTGCCGAGCTTGGAGCTGCTGTCATGCAGCAGGCAGATGTTGCTGCTCTTTGGCTGCTGGAGGCCCTTGTCCTCACACTGCCTCAGAGCCTGCTGCAAGCATATGTTGTGGTGTCCACTGATGTGGGCATCATGTCCCCAGGTAAACTGATTTCGCCATCAATTATGGCATGCCAGTTGTTGTTGCCAAGAGTCTGAATAACAGATGTCTTTTTTTCATACTTCCTCCTTCTGTTTTTACCTACAGTAGCCTATTGCTGTGGTCTATGTGTGCTGTCTATTTCCTGGGCTCTGGTGCTGTACAGCAGAGCCTGCTGTCTGATACGACCGGGCCACTTGGCCATGCCTCCGGCAGCCCTCCTGTGCCAGCTGGTGTGGAGGGCAGGCATGCTGGGTGCAAGGGTGACTTGCCTCATGTTCTTTGCCAGGGTCTTTAGCTGGTGGGTCTGTGGAGTAGCAGGTGAGCAGCACGCTCCATGTGCGCTTGTGTATCCGACACCACTGAAAAGAAGAGAAAGGGTGCAATGAAATGACAATAAATGATTGCTGTAACAAACTACACAAATACAAATAGAGATCAATGAGTAACCCAGTTCTTATGTTCCTCATGACTCGTAATTTATAAATAATGAAAGTATCAGAACATTATTACTTTATACTTAAGTTAATGAGTGATGTAATTATCCTGAGTGATGCAGCATGCCCTCCTGATCTAGTTTTTAATTTGCTTCTCTGCATCAGCTTGATACGCTGCATATGGATTCCCTGTTGCAGTTGTATCTCCTAGTCTATTTTTACGTTGACCTCCAGGTTTCCACTGGCTCACAGCCTCCTTCTGGCTGGTATCTCAGCAGCCAGACATCTGCACTGGCCCCTGGTGTTGGCGTGCCTTTAACGGCATCATGGGGCTTGTCCACATCTTCCTCTTCCTCAATGTCAAAGATGGACCCTCGCGCTTCCGCATGGCCAGTTTTTATGCAGTAAGACGTGACTTTTGTTGAAATTGCTGTTTTCTCGTCATGTTTTCGCTGTTTTGTATTCCATGTGCAGCAATGCCTCACTGACGTACACACAGCGCAGCTGCACACGCACGGATATACACACACACAAACAGGCAGATAGTTTGCATTGTCATCCTCACCTCTGCGTCCTCAGCTTACATTGACGTAATGCTGTGTGCAGATGACTGATGGTGTGACCTTATCTCCTCCTTCAGTTCATGCTGGTGGAGAACGCCACTCTGCTGTTGGCCGCCTCCGACTTCCTTAGCGAAGCATCATGGGACAGCATGACCCTTCCCACCACTGTGCTGTGTAGCTTTCTCCTCGGTGAGTCCCACTCTCTATCTGCACTCCTTTTGTTTTGAAATAGCTCTGTTTCAGATGTTTTGATGTTCAGTGCTCATAATAAAAAAATGTCTCTTGATGCCTTAATAAACTAACTGAAATAAGAACTGTATTCTTCACTTGATAATTGCCAGTGACTTGTAGAAAAAATATTGCTTGTAACAAGTATTTTAAAAAATACTGAGTGTACTGAAATCAACTGTTTCCTGTTCCCTGCGTCCCAGGCGCTACCTCTCTTGTCCTATACTACCGGTTCCTTCACCCAAAGTCAACAGAGATCTCCCAGGGTACGAACCACAACCACATGAGCAGCACGTGTATAGAACAAGGGGAGTCGTCCTTCTCTCTCGGGGACAAAAGCCTACCAGCTCCCTCCATTCAAAACCACGGCAGCTTCTCCCTCTCAGGTGTGGCTGGTTCTCTGCTTGAGCACCCAGGAACCTGTGGGGGCCGGCCTAACAGCTCTTGCCCTTGCTACCACCACCACTGGCTCCTAATCCGGCTGGCTCTGAAAACAGGAGACCTGGGAAAGATCAACAGAGCGTATGGGGCCGGCGGAGCAGCAGCCATACTGGACATGGAGGAGTACAACCAAGAATTTAAGAGTAACGAGGGCATCACTATCACAGCAGGGGGCAGCTGCGGGGGCATCTCCACCTCTGAGTCTCAGGGGAAAGGCCCGGCACCTCTCTCGGACTGCAAAGATGAGTTCCAGAGCGTGAGCGAGCCCACGTCAACTGAACAACCTGAAGAAGAGGATGACAGTCTGGAGATGGAGAGCCCGATGGAGTCACCCACATCCGATTTCAAACGTAGCTCACCAGAGGGTAAGTCTGTGTTTGGAGACAGTCCGGAGCCATACTTCTGCCCTACAGAGTCAAGTTCAACCTTATATTTCAGCGCTGATCCTCAGTCCCCCAGCAGAGCCAGTAACCCCCGCTTGGACCGGGACATTGGGGGCCTGGAACATGGGGTGCGCCTAAACTCAATCCCCAGCGATCCAACACTTCACAGAGATATACGTGGGATCATGGGCCGGGTTGGACCACGCTGTACTTCCACTCCTAAATTGGACTCTGGAGTCCTGGACTCCCCGTCTAATGTCCCTCATCTCACCGGTCCCAGAAGGCAGCTCATAATGTCGCGAAGAGATGAAGAAGATAACTTCTAGCAAGATAGAATCAGAGAACAGCAACTTAATCAACATTAAAGGAGTACGGCAGCTTTTTGAAAGGCTGCTTTTTCATCTGCTCAGTGCTGTAGGATGAGAAGGCTGGCAGAACCTCTTTATATCTACATACCACATTTTCAGGACACTGTGGGGCACAGTATATGCAAGAATTTTGGGATTATGCTAAGCTAGCCTGTGTTCTTCTCAAATCATAAACTCTTTTCTAAAAGCAAATGCTTTGCCGAAATGCTGGACAGACAGAGGTGAAACCTTCAATAGAGTTTTTATCAGACATGAAAAACATAATTAAAGAGCTAATTGGCCACAAATGTGGTGTAAGGAACTCAGACACACCTTCTACCTGGCATCCATTAAACATTTGTTCAGTTCTTTTGGCAGCAATTAACTTAAGCCTTAAGAATCATACCATATAAACACTGGTTCTGCCAGATTGTAATTACATATTAAAGAATTAGCCTTGAGTTATATCCAAACATCATAAGAAATACGAAGCTGTTTTATGATCTCGGAAAACGGTTGATCTCTATATTACATACCGAAACAGCTGTTATTTATGTTAATTGCCAGCAGTTTTGAGAATATAGAAGTAATTCCGATATCGAAAGGGGACAGGAGTGTCTGACCTCTGAATCGTAACCATCTCAGCTTAAGCCAGAGCTTTGTTGGCTTCTTTAAAGCACAAGTATTTTCTGTACCATACATCTATTGCTGTGACTTTTTGTTATTTCTTATTTAAAAACAAAAAACAAATCCCCAATCCACTCAGAGTACAACAACAATACACTGTATTTTTTGTATAATCATGTCCGCTGGAATTGCTTTGAGCAAGGCTAGTGGTCAACTGGCTGTGTCAAACTGTGTATGATGTTTTAACTTTATTTACATGTTGACCATGTAATTGCTAACATGTTTTTTAAATTTACATTATGTTGGTGGGGGGGATCACGTCTCAGGCACTGACTCTAAAAAGCTTTCAAATGTTTATTGAAAAGATGCTTCTGAGGTACTTGTTGTGACTTTTTATGTGTTCTTGATTGCTATTTGTAGGGGACAAATGCATTTTTGCTCATTACCGTTCTGTAAAAGGGATGAAATCCACTAACAAAGCAGTGAGGTGATGCTGGGGTTTCTCTTGCACCTAGGTGACTGCCTATATTAAATTTTGAACTGTGAAGTGCAAGGCCACTGGTGGCTTTAAATAAGCAATAAATAGCCTACATACAAGTGTTTGCAATTATTTCACCTTTGATCAGTTTATATTTATGGTATCAAAGTAAGTCGTTTGAGTTGAATTGTCAAACGTGGACTTTTTTAAAATGTTTCCGAGCATTTAACACGTGCACTGCTCCATGATCACTCAGGTTGAAATGCTCTTTTGTCATGTCAGACTGAACTCATTGGGTAAATGGCCTCATATTGCTCAAAGAAGGTATTTATGGCACTCGCCCTTTAAGAAGCCGCGCATGCGCACATATGCGAGAAAGTTAACTGAACTTCGCAGTCAGAAAAATTCAGATTTATAAAATAGCAGGGAAAACACCATTGAGTTGACATGGCATTTCGCCGGAGAAACAAGAGTTACCCTTTCTTCAGCCAGGAATTCTTAATTCAAAACCATGCCGACATCGTCTTCAGTTTGGTGATTTTTGTTTTGATCGGATTGATGTTTGAGGTGAGATGAACTCAGATTCTTTTTTTCTTCCCTCGTCTCGCTCAGCTGTTTTAAGATGGCAAGCCAGCTGCACATTAAAAGATGTAACGTGGTGCCAAATGAAGTATTATTCGGTCGAAATGGTGTTCTGCTTTGTAAAAACGTCTGCTTGTTTGACTGCATCCGAGCCTTCTATCGGTGTAACGTTAACGTTCGTCAGTTCCGACAGTAACGTTACCCGCTTGCTGTAAGTTTTGTGAACAATGAATGTTGGCTCTCTTCGCAAGTTGCGACGTGTGATTTAAATTGAGCCAGAAAGCAGCTGAAACCAGAAAGTTAAAGTTATAAACTGCAACCGTACGCGTTTGTAGCTGGTTTAACATCTGTAAAGTTTTCTGTGTCTTGCTCTTCGTATGTTACTTTTAATTCCAAAGGGAGTTTCTTAAACCGGGATACAGTTGAAAACTCCTATATGTTGGCATATTCATACGTGGCTAAATTACTGGAAAACAACATAATGTAGCTTATTTGCTTCCTAGAATTCACGTTTTACCCTTCAGACAAAGAATTGGTCCAGTTTCCAGCAAAGATAGTCCGCTGCAAAATTTTGAGTCCAACATTTGTCAGTTACCACAGAGAACCTAAATAATACAGGAAGCGGTTACAGCATTCAAAATAAAAGCGCCGCTTTTTGCTGAGACTGAAGTATGTCACCCGTCCGACACCGAAGAGTTTTATTTTGTAAAGTGGTAACGGAAGCTGTACCCCTCTTCGTCGCGGGCTTGACAAAGGTTGTTAACTGCCACGTCTCAATCTTTCAGTCGCCGCAGCTCGCTGCCTTCGGCTCAGCTTAACGAAAGAGTGCATTCTTTTACCCGAAGGTGATTTCACCACTGACATGTACAGTGACTGAATTAATAAGGCGTCTCACTAGCTTATCCTACATAGGAACAGCCCCCCCCCTCCGCTTGAGAATATAGCAACGTTTCAATCCGGAACCCTGAGTTGGTTGTGATCACACAGCTGGCCGAGTAAAAAATAAGTAGGGGATTTCCTTAATTTTCCTCGTTTCGGAAAAGGGAACTACAGTGCTAAAGCTTGTGTTGAATTTGACATTTTGGCGTTGACAGGTCACCTCGGCGCTCAAGGGATGACTGGTGACTTGTTGCACTGTGGTGCCCAAACTGGAGCCAGGGGACAACAGGGGCCCTTGAGGGGTCTCAGTAAGGAAGACCCTATAATCATTATATAGGCTACCAAGTTAAATCAAGAAAAATGAGATTGCTTAAAACAAAATGTTATCATAATCCCATCATATTCCCAACCTGATGGGACCTCCAGCAGGAGTTGAAGATAAATGTGAGGGTTGGCAAGTTGCAAGACACAAGATGTTGTTCGTTTTGAAGACATTTCTTTGATCTTGATCTTGGTGTTAAAACCAGTTTTCAGCTTCTCAAATGTGAGGACTTGCTGCTTTTTTTTAAAATATAGTTGTATATCGAATATATGTGGGTTTTGGACTGTTTGATGCCAGTCAGTTTGTAGACACATGCAACCTGTGAACAGGGGTATTGCGTTGTGGTAAACACTGGTCTAATGCATGTTCTTATGGGGATGCTTGACATAAAATAATTTGGGAGGCTCTGCTGTTGCCTCTTCCACATCCCAGGTTAATACAAGCCTTGTCTTGCCAGACAGATTTTTCAGCAGCACTGCTTGAGGAATTCAGCTCCCAGCAGGCAATTATAATGCCATGGGGGAGGATTGACAGACAACATTATATATTCAGAAAAGCTTTGCACACACACCCGTCACAAACACCCATACATACTTTGATGGTACTTGAGGTTGCATTCAGACAGGTTCACTGAAATATGTTGCTAATTACCATCTTGTCTAATTTCCAGGCGACAGCCAAGACGGCCATACTGTTCATTCAGCCTCAGTACAATGTCACTACACTATCACCAGGTATGCAGTGCAGTTGAGGAATTATTATTGAATGCTCCTTCTAATTCACAACCTGTGAGCTGTCTACAGGTCATACATTTCACAGTTTCACTTCTGCTCCTGCATAATGCATCATCATATCACTGTCATTGAATTGTGAATTACATTACAAAAACAGTTTACATTGCTCCAGGATGTTTAACACACCTCCTGATTGCAAACGTGCTGTGTGTGTGTGTGTGTGTGTGTGTGTGTTTGACCCCTCCTATGTGTGCTTAGAAGGAGAGGTGACGTTGTACCATTACGGATGGAAGGACTGTGCCACCATCCTCTTCTATTTCTTCATCGCCATCATCCTCCATGCAGTGGTGCAGGAGTATCTTCTGGATGTAAGTACTCAGTCATGGAGGCACCATGCATCAGTGAGCCACAAGCGGAGGCATATAGTAGATATCTCACAAAGAGGTCCTTCTATACTGCAGTTTTACTGTAGGTCTGACAGTGAAATACTCAGCAACACATACTGATTATTTTCAACAGATGATAAAATGGCAAGAAAAGGCAACAGATATTGCAAATGGCATCCTGGGCACCAACGTATATAGTAGAACTATGAATAAATAATGAAATTAATCCATTCATAACTAGAACCCTTATTCTCCATATTTGTTGAATTGTACACCAATTTCTCATTTCTGCATGTTCAGCTTGATCTGATGTGCACAGACTTAAATACTCTAAGTTATGCAGCAATTAATATTGAATAATAATTATAGCCGTGTCAATATTTCCCCAATAATTTGTACTAAATGACACAGTTCTTTCCATGTAACTTTTTGGAAATAATTCAGAAATGACGGACCCATACAATTAAGTGTTACCTAAATTAGTTATCAGCAATATTATTAATATTATTCACTGCATATACATGCATTATGATATTCCATCAAATGTAGGGAAAATAAAGAATTCAATATTTTTTGTCCTTTTTTGCAGTCACAAACCTGAAACAAACCATAAAATATCTCTGTATGAGTATGCTTTTTATGAATGTATTCATGTATATGAAGATACATACTTTTCTGTGGTGTGTGCATCCAGTTGCACTTTGTGGCGTTTAAAAGGACATTTTAAACAGAACCGTTTGAAACATACCGCATCAAAAAAACACAAGAGCAGCATGCTGAGTGTTTTACAGAATGACGTTGCTCCAGTTCTCTTAGCATAGAGTTGTGGAGACAGGAAAAGTAAAGCAACATTTAATCCATCTGAAAGTATGAGCCCCTGTGTCATTGTTTAGAAATAGGCCAGTGAGGAGGAATTATGTTTTATTTTAGCATCATCACCATGGGTTCCAAAGTGTCTTGAAAGGAATACTTCTTCAGAGGAAGGTTTTCAACAGCAGCCATAAATAGTATTTGCTGTCTTTTCTTGTCCCAGTTATTTGTGTTACCGTGACACTTCCTTGTGAATGACAATGACGCTGTCAACATGCCACCCATTCTCAGTGGATCCGACTGCAGTCACATGATCCTTTTGTGTTGTCCACGTTGCAGAAAGTTAACCGGCGTCTCCACCTCTCGAAGAGTAAGAACACCAAGTTTAATGAGTCGGGTCAACTGTGTGTATTTCACTTGGTGTCGAGTGTGTGGAGTTTTTACATCCTCATAACAGTGAGTGAGATTTTTTTCAAAGCATGTTGTATCCAGTGACAGCTTCCTAGATGAGTCAAATTCTGAAAACATATCACGCACTGTGCACTAACGAACAATGTGTTCTCTGTTTTATTTGCACAGGAGGGCTATCTCCTGCATCCCAGCAGCCTTTGGGAGAAATATCCCCATGTACACCTCAGGTATGACTGATGCGTAACAAACTGTCAGTGGTGTATTTACATTACATATATTTTTTAGTATCCACGTATACTCCATTTATCCATAGAACCATGTGTTAGGGTTGCTTTCAAAGTGTATGTTCTATTTTTTATTTTTATTTTTTAAAGCCACCTTGCTGGTTTATTTGACTTAACTATGTTTCTTAAAGGTTTTTTTTTAGTTGCACCATCGCAGGGGTGTAAATCGCACTGACTTCTCTCCTTCTTCCCCTTTCTCCCCCTTTTCTTCTGGTCCAGGTTTCAGGTGAAGTTTTTCTACCTCACTCAGCTGGCCTACTGGCTCCATGCCTTGCCAGAGCTCTACTTCCAGAAAGTACGCAAGGTCAGTAAGGAGGCCCTGGGAACGGGAGGTATTCTGGAGTGTGTGTGTGTGTGTGTGTGTGTGTGTGTGTCAGATTGTGTATGTTCTGCATCAGACTGAGAGTAAGAAAAAAGAACTGGCTCCAGGATTTGAAACTACGGTATGCAAATAAAGGCTTTTGTTTGTTTTTCAGGAGGAGATTTCTCGTCAGCTCCAGTACATTTGCCTGTATCTGCTGCACATCTCTGCAGCCTATTTGTTAAAGTAAGCCTCCAGCAGAAGGCCTTTTTTAGGAAAACCTGCTTGTCAAGGAAAAATGCATGTATAGTGAGAAAAGCAATAAAAGAAAAAGGTTTGAAACTGAATCAGATGTTACCTAATATTATCACCTGCCCGTCTCTCTCTCTCTCTCTCTCTCTCTCTCTCTCTCTCTCTCTCTCTCTCTCTTGTATAGTATGAGTCGTGTGGGTCTGGTACTCCTCTTTCTTCAGTATGTGTCAGAGCTGGGCTTCCACATTGCCAGGCTCTTTTACTTCACTGATGAGAATCATCAGAAAATGTAAGTAACCTCACTGGGCTTAATGGTTTTGCCATTCTTTTTGTCAGCAGTCAAGCCCACTGGTGTGACTTTTGACGAAAACATCCCAATATTTGCCTTACCATAACTTGACTTAAATATTTATTAACATCTTCTTATCACAAATACTGAAATCGTCTCAGCATGTTTTTTTTATTGACTACATGTTCGCTGTGTGTCGTGCTTCAGGTTTAATATGTGGGCGGTTAGCTTTGTGTTTACACGGATGGTCACTCTGACCTTGATGTTCCTGGCTGTCGGGTTTGGTTTGGCTCGTGCTGAGAACCAGGGGCTGGACTTGGAGATGGGTAACTTCAACACTGTACTGATAAGGTAATGATGATAAGGTAATGGTCCAACGTGTCTGGATTATGATTAATTTTGTTGCACTGCTATTACTCTACAACTATGAATACAGTTAGTGGGCATAAAAAAGTGTTTACTTTTTAATGTTTTATTGTTTCACAACATAAATTCACAGTGGATGTAGCCAGGAAGTATTACACTGATTGATAGAAAATTTAATTTCACGCAAAAACACATCTCAGCAAATGGATAAAATGGGGTTTGATGTTTCAAAATCATAATACACTATACCTGCAGTTACAGTATGACTAGTAAGAACATTATTTCAAGATATCTCTGAATATACAGTAGTACTTTTTTACTCCAGTTTTAACTTTAGTGCTATTATTTGCAATGAAGTGTGACAGCAGCACACTGCTCTAAGACAAAGGCAACATAAATAGCAGATTTATTGAATCGGTTTGCAAATGGGGCAACTGTGGGCAACCGTTACTGTCGAACCCTGAGAAAACAAAAATATATTATAACAAATATTCTTCAGACTATCAAACGCACACACCAGGGCCACAAAGTAAATGAATTAATTCAGCACGCAATGTGAGGTCCGTTTTCCAAATCACACACTTGGACTAATCTTCTTGTATTTGGGCCCCTTCAGGATGACTGTTCTACTGTTGGTATGTTTGACCCAATCTTGGCTCCTCTGGAAGTTTATCCGCTTCCAGCTGAAGCGCTGGCGGGAGTTCAGACACGAACAGGCTGTTCGCAAGAAGACTGCCACAAAACAAGTCCTACGGCCGCTGAAGAGAGACTCACGTGAGTGTACCACCAGCTCCAACATGTCTTATAACACACTGACATCATCTCCTAATAAATAGTTACAGACGACTTGGGCAACAACTCTTTCTTAGTGTTACAGTTTTCAGGAGTGTGACTTGTATCATTACTCATTTCATTTCTTTTAGCTTTATTGGCATGAACGTTTAGGTAAACAATGTTGCCAAAACAAAAAATTCACACTCTCTCTCCCATCATTCCCTGCTTTCTTGATTTGTCCTGATCACTCTGATTATGTGCTGCATTAGTAGAGATCCTGACTTCTCACCTCTCTGTCTTTCCCGCTAGTTGGTCACCACGAAAACGGAGTTCTTAAAGCCGAGAACGGAGCCTCTCCTCGCACCAAAAAACTCAAATCCCCCTAAGACAACACACTGACTGGCCTGAACAGCGGCTTTAGCCCCGGCTAAGGTTTCTCATCAGCACAACAGGGAAGCTGGTGGCAACTGGCCATCAAGCTTCTTGTTGAGTATGTCCTGAGATGTTACAGGACTCAGTCACTACAGACTTAGGCTTGAATGCTGGAATAACAAAATCCAAGGAAACCCCTCAAGCCCAACAGACATTTACTCTTCTCATCATATCAGTATTTTTTATACATCCACACAGCCTTCTATCCCACCCTAAGGAGCACCGTTGTATGCAGAATGATTAAAATGTAAAGTGAACACAGGATGCCGCACACGTGTTAACCGTGTGTCAGCGTTGAATGTGTTGATGCATATCCTCATACATAAGTACTGTATTGTTTTGTAGTGTTGTCTGATGTTGCAGCTGTTTTCAGCTCTTACCCACTGAGCCGGCTTTGCTTGTTTTCTAATCTGGTCCATTGAAGCAGAAAACTCTTACAGATGAGATGGTATGATATGAGCTCTGTACGCTGGCCTTAACACACTCCCTTTACCACATTAGGGAAGGGATGTTGGCAAACCAAGAGAGTGGTCACCTGGGCCAGTGATTTATGTCTGTCTACATTTGTCACTGGTCACTTAACAGATAAGCATCAAGTATGTATGTTGGATATTACCGCATGCCATTCCATGTTTTTTTTTTTGTTTTTTTTCTTTTAATTGTTTTGGTAATTTCTTTATTAAATAATGCATTTTTCTGAAATAATGTGTGGACCCCTCTATTGTCACTTTCCCTGTTTTTATTTTATACATAATGTTCAGCTGTTGGCCTTTGTACTGTCCTAGTTTGCAGCAACAGAAAATGCATGCACTGCCAGTTGGTAAATTGAGACAAGAGCATGCAGAATTAAATAGAATAGTTTTTCTACATTTCCAGTGTTCTTTCATAATCCTGTAAACAGCAGTGTGTTTAGCCAATTCTGAATGGGGTAGTGCAGGTGGACTCGACCAAGGGTGGCACCACACATGGTAGACCCCCTTCACCTACAGTATGCTTTTAACTTGCTTGATTGCCCATCTGTAACATGGGGAGACTGTGGTTCAGGAGGTAGAGCGTGTTGCACGCTAATCGGAAGATCGGCGGTTTGCTCCTCCAGTCTGCATGTCGACTTGGGCAAGATACTGAACCCCTAATTGGCCCCGTTGGCTAGTATCATGTGTGTTCATGTTTATTTTTGTCCAATATAAGAAGGGTATTTTGAGGTCAACCACACCAACACCAAACAGTTATATTTTATACATTTTAAGAACCTTTCCGATTTAGCCAAACAAATCACATTTTCTGCAGCAGGTCCAGTTAAGAAACATTCTGCAAAGGCTTTGATTATACTCTAGTGGTCTAGTGGGGAGGGAAAACACTTGAGGCAATCCAGCCTTCCCCTGATATCAGGAAGATGGCTCTGCTGCATCATCACCTAATAAAGAATGAAAATAAACTGTCCAAATAAAAGTCCAAGATTTGAAAAAAGTTACACCTACAGGAAGAAATTTATTCCAGAGAAGACAATTCTAGAGAAGCATGTGTTGCTGAATGGTTGATTTGAGTTTTACCATTTCTGTCTGCTAGCTAGTTAGTTGCCGTCCCACCACCCAGCTTCTGGCGCAAAGAATGCAGCGTCTGAGAAGGGATCTGGCTTGAGCAAGACTCCAGGTATGTCAGCACATAGTGGTCAGCATTGGTCAACACAAAGCGGTGGCTGAAAACTAATAAAAAGATGAGAAAGAGGAGAAAGATGTAGTGTGCTTGTATTGTGTATTATCTATTGATCCCCTACTCAAAAATAAATATAATGACGTATACAGCTTAATGTTTCTAGAAAGACATGGTTCATGGCATGGTACATGCAACATGATCTATACATTGCTGTTTCTTCAATAAAAGATGCTGTAGTTTCTGAGTATTTATTCCTTTTGGAAACTATGACAGAATAGAATCAGTACAGGCTGTTAAACTGAGAATGTTACCCTCCACAGTGGCTCCAATAGCAAAGTCTGCAGGTGAGTAGAACTCAGGGTTCTCCACTGTAGAGCCCGGCTTGGGGATGCGCGTCTTCTCCAGGAACTTGCCACCGATGATACCAGAGTTACGAGTGGGCTTTTCAAAAATACTGATCATGTCATTGGACAGGTAGTAGGACAGTATGAAATGTCGGCCCTCATCTTTGGGATTCTGGGAGTCCTGGAATGTCAATAACGGGACAGCTCAAACAAAGAGACAAATTGTGTTTCATGGCTTTGAATTATGTCTGGTCGATCAATAAACATGTTTCCTGGGTTACATCATCTGTTACCATGTTCTGAACCCAGAGTTAGGCCCTGGGTTACGAAGGCTCATATAAGAAGTGGCTAACTTGATCTCATTTTTGGACCAACCACCCATCACTCCGAAGGTTTAGTCAAAGAAGCAGCAGAAACACACCGTCACACATGTTGACTCACCAGCGTGGCACTGTAGCGCAACACTTTGTGGCTGTTTTCTAGCATCTTTAGCACGTTCTTTTTGGGAGGTTCAGGAATTAAAGACAAACAATTCTGGAGAGAGTCTTCAAGTGAACCAAAACCATTATAGGGAGGAACCTCCTGTAAACAAAAATAACATAGAGTTGTCCTCAGGCAATACACATGATATAGTTTTGTAAAGGAAAACAAAAGACAGAAAAAAGTTTCTCACTTTCTTCTTCTTCTCCTGAAGCGTGTTAATCTTCTTTGGCAACTCTACGGGTTTCACCTCCGTGTCAGGGTGGTTCTTCTGGTAATACTCCTTAGTGAAGCCATCACAGTCATACAGCAGGAAGCGACGGCCCAGCAACTTCATCGTTTGACCCACCTGGAAGTCTTTGGGGGAGTAGTACTCATCCACTTCCTCTGTTGAAACCTCCAGCACACAGCTGGGAAAGGCCTCTGGAAAGAAATAAGAACAGTAGGGGTAAACCGAGGCGAAAGTAACACGGGACGAAAGTAACAAGGCGATTTTCTCAGAGCCCTGACTGCATTCGCAGTCCAAGCTGTGACAGCACCTTCAGCACGCAACCCTTGATGAAGCATGATTTTGATCATCGTTTCCCGCGGCCGTCTTTGGAAAACTGTTTTCGAACACGGCAAGTAAATTTCTGAAGCGGTACTGTTTTTCAAATTATAAGTTGTGTCTCTCGTGTCACATTAATGATTAATCTACAGGTTATTTAGTGCTTTAACACACCCTGAAGTTTGCCCTGTCAGAGTTTTTCAGTATAAAAATAAATCGTGTTTATATGTCAAGAGTTCCTGTCGGGACGAAAGTAACACTTGTTACTTTTGTCCCGCTAAACCTGACCACAAGTGTTTCTTTTGTCCCGCTGCTAATGTGGTGACTTTTCTGTGTGTTGCAGCATTTATTAAAACATCTTTATGTCATATTATACCAACAGAATATGCCAATAGTGTGGGTTAGAAAGACAGAGGCCTGATTCAGCCAGATGTTTATGAGAAGGCGTTTCTGTACATCTCTATTAGAAACATCTCAATCAGTCTCAGGTCAGCTGATAAAGTTCAGATAATGCAGGAGGAGGGCAGAGATAATTGGGGAGAAGACTAGACCACAGGTACAGATCACATTATTAAGTCTTCTCCTTGAACTAGGAAAGGAAGCTGCATGCTTATATTAAGAGAGCGGCTGATATTTATTTTGGCCTGTCTCCTAAGGAGTGTGTCAGTAAAAAGCACTCAAAATGCAGATCACTCATACTGTTCTTATTAAAACAACTTTAAATTCATTTCAAAATGTGAAATTTGTATAGGCCTATTCTGTAAATAGCTTTTTAATTTTTATCTTAATTTTATTGTTTATTTTCATTTTTGTCTTATCTTTCTAAATTATGTTTCATTTTTTCACTGTTTCTGAAACTGCTGCAACATGCAAATATTACCAGTTCAGGATCAGTAAAGTCTTGTTTTATTTTAATCATGTCAGGTTCATAAACAATGTCCATCTTTCCATTTCCCCCCTGTTTTAGGTGCACACATTTGCATATTTATATTATATATTTATAATATATCCTTAATATAATATGAAATATTCTAAACAATTCAAGTTTGGGCTGTCAGGTTACTTTTGAAACTGAATAATAATAATTATATAATAATGAATTGAAATAAAAATGCATTACATTTTTAAGATAAAGGACAAAAGATGTTTGCAGTTACACATTAACAAGGTCACAGTCATGTTTATTTATTAAATACAAGGGTGGTAACACAAAAAATGTAGCTTGTATTGCTGTGTTACTTTTGTCCCAGCTGATGGGGTCGAAAGTAACAATGTGCCACTTATGTTTAAAGTGAAATTATACATAAGTCGTTCTACATTTGTACAAAATAACACCTGATAGTGATTGACCACACCTGTGAGTTAGTGACCACAGCAAAAATATATCTCTGTCTGAAACATTATCTTTAAAAATCATTTTTTTCTGAAAAATGGTACTTTCACCCCTGCTCTCCCCTACCGTTATTTAGCAGTTGATTAAAAAGGTGTTTATTGCATGTTAGTATTTATTTGTACTTTTTTATGGTTCATTTGATGTTAAATATATTTTATGTTGTCTCTTCTAAACTTGTATTTGTCTTTTTAAATATTTGTTGTCACCTTTGAAAAATCTTTGATTTTATTATTAATTAATGTTAATTTGTTACATTGTACTGCATCTTATAGTATGACACATGCTGTATAAATAAAGTTTCACCATAATTATAGTGTATATGAACATTGTGTAGTGCATAAAATAGTTTACAAAAACATTATAAGCAATACTCAGTTGCAGAGAAATATGATTTCAATTGCATTGTTCATGTGAAGTTAGTTTCAAAATAAGAGGCAGTTTCTTCAGTTCACTTTCACTGTATGTGACTGATGCAAAGAGATACCTGACCAAAGCACACATCTAATGAAATTCTATTCATCCATCCATCCATCCATCCATCATCAACCGCTTATCCTGCGTACAGGGTCGCAGGGGGCTGGAGCCAATCCCAGCTGACATCGGGCGAAAGGCGGGGTACATTCTGGACAGGTTGCCAGTCCATCGCAGGGCCACACATACACAAACAACTACTCACGCTCACACTCACACCTAAGGACAATTTGGGGTCACCAATTAACCTAGTCCGCATGTCTTTCGACGGTGGGAGGAATCCGGAGCAATGAAATTATATATAAAGCTAAAATTGAGAGACACAGTGTTGCACCTCACCAGATTTGAATTTCTTGGGCAGCTTCTGTCGGCGCATCAGGACAGGGAAGGGATCCCGGCCACTGTTGGGTTCGTGGACTTCTCTGATCTCTACTGTGTCATCCACCAGGAAATACTGGATGGTTACAGGCCTGGTCTCCCCGTACAGAGAGTCAGTGTCGTCCCAAAGGGCAAAGAAATGCAGCACCTGACCAAGCAGAGATTAAGAGCCTGAAACCAGAGTTGGTATGCCAAATGCAAAATCTCAGGGTGCAAACACCTGATTGACAATGCAAATTTGTATTGACATTGCAAACGAAACATTTCAGTGGTTTCAGTGGTTCCACTTATTTTTAGGTTGACTTTGCATTTTTCAAAGGATCAAGTTCTCAAAGGCTTAGGTTGAAGAAACATGAACTTCTCCAAAAAATTAAATAAGACTACGTTAGGAGACCTAGTTGATGTAACAGATGTACAATGCCCAACTTAATAGTGGTGGTGTGAATGGTGTGTCTTATTTACACTAAATATTATTTAATTCTTCTACTTGCACGCTACTAACTATATAACATCATGGCAGGGATAAAAACTACACAAGCAGATCATGTTTGTTTTATAAATAGCTTGAAGAGGAAATGTTATTGTACTCCTGCCTCTCTGTTACTAGGAGTCCAGATTAGGGTTTGGAATGGTTACCCAGTGAGTTTTGATTAGAGGGAATTTCCTTTACCTTACGATCCATGGTGAAAAACTGGTGCATGCGATTGAAGTCAGGGGGTGTTGTGAAGGAAGGCTGAGGGTGTTTGCGACGTTTGCCATAAGGATCCACAGGCATCGGCTCAGAGTCGTTCAGAACAATGCCCTCACTTTCCATGAATTCCTTTATATGATGAATGAGAGACACAGACAGAGACAGGGTATACTTACAACGACATATCCATAATTTTGTGTCAGACACAGATAAAATAATAAAGATCCATAACGCTCAACGAGAGCATTCACACAGGTGAGTGTACCTTTGTAAAAGCGTCACACTGTGTGATGTGGTACTTGATCCCGTACACCTCCAGTTCCATGCCAAGGTTGAGGTCTTTCCATTGGTAATGCTCGCCACGTTCATTCTTGGGCAGACGCTGGCGTTTGATCCGTTTCCCCTGTGGTATCCCAGAATTCTCCACCATGGGCTCAATGATGCACATGCTGTCATCCTCAAGGTAGTAGTAAATGACCACGGGGCGCACGCGGTACTCCTCTTCAGGGGAATACAGGATATCTTCCTGAAAGTAAGCATAAAAGCGCAGCACCTACAAGAAAAGAGGGTGGGGAAGAACAGACAAACAAGGAGTTACTTAGACAGCAACAAAAATCTGATCTGAAAACACAAATCTAGGCATTACTGTACCTTCTTGTCAAGGGCCACGTGAGCTGGGATGAAGTCTTCGGCTAGGCTCTGGTCATAGGAGCCATAAGTAATGTCTGGTGTCTCAAAGGACAACTCATTCATCTCCTGCTGGATCAACTGCACTGATAAAAGAGGATCCTGTCCAATGCCCACAGTGGGGCGACGGGGCAGAGCATAGCCATTCTTATAGTCCAGTGTCTGGCAGCGATGGAAGGCTGACTTCTGCAGAGAAATATCATTGAGGTGGGGAATAAATTAGCTCTGGTAAATCACAATAGAAATAGGTATATTAAATATTTGCAACACTGATGCAACTGAAGCTCTACTACACTCAAATATCAATTATTATGTGAGCTCACAGTTCAACACAATACTGTACTACAGAAAGTGTTATGAGACATAAAGTTAGATGACGTTACGTTACAGAATCATAGTTAAACCTGTACATGATAACGTAATACAATACAATGTTTTTGGAATAAACACTTCCAAAAGAGAATTTTATCTCGGAAATTTTACTGAGAATTAATTTAAGACTTCGAGCCATTAATGTCCCTCTGCTGTGGCAATAAGTCAGCAATTACGCTAACGTTATAGCTAACGTTTATAGCATCCTAAATAAATCAATCCTGATTATATCACTCAAAACTGCGACCCAGTTATTTGAGAAAAGGACTGGAGGAATGCAGGGAAAACAGAAACGGAAAGGGCACATTGTCTTGCGAGTACCTTACAGTCAAACGTTAAAGCCTCACGTTACGTGAGGTTAACATAAGAACATTATAATGGACCTAAGTTAACTTAGCTAACATTAGATTTTTAGGTGACATATTTACCGTTACGTCCCGAAAAGTGTATCCTGGTAAAAATGGTAACCCATGGCTGTTCCAGTTCCAAGACATTGCTAAACTAGTCTTGACGTCTAGTACGTATATTATTTTCGTAGTTTGTGGATTTCACAAGGTTTTGTTGAAACCTGTTGTAAAGCTGCACGACCGTGGTAAGTTTATAGTATCCATGGAAACGGCACGGGAGAAACAATTTCAAAGATCGTTTAAAAAAAGTAAACAAATGTTTCTGAAAACTACAACCAAAAGAAATTCAAGTTTAAACCCGAGGAAACAAAGCCAGATTGATAAAAAAAAATTGCTAAAAATTAAAAAAGAATTGAGTAAAATAGCATAAGTTACCCCCTATAACATCAATTTGTTTTAATTTTGTAAATTTCTGTGTCGAGTAACGTTACCCTACGTGCTACATTCAATTCAAGCAGTAATACCTGAAAGTTATTTACTATGAATAACGTTTTTATTAGTGAGTGACTTTTATTCATACACTCTACCTTATATACAGTCTATGCTCTGTACACAAACTAAAGAGATAACCTAACCACCAGGGGGCGAGCTACAACAATAAATCCCACTGATAGAATTGCCAACAGGTCATCCCACACTTGTGAATTCATGATGACATTATACAGTGTGTTTGCTTTCTATATTTGTTCTATTAAATCATTTTTCCGAGTTCCACAGTAGCCTACAGAGCAAGTATTGTGCATAAGTGGACTAATACAAGCATTGTGCACATTTGAAGTGACATTTCAAATGCAAAACATAATATCAGAAGAAAATTTGCAAGAGAAACAAAAGAGATGACAAGTTATTTTTGAACACAGTTTATTCCAAGAGCAGGAGTCATATTTTGGTCTCACTTTACCAGCTATTGGCACATCGTAATCCCATTCAAATTTAAACACAAGAACTGTCTTTATAAAAGCTATATATAGTGGCAGTCCTTATGTGCATGACCCTAATATATCCTGTGTACTCTCAATTAAACTCTCAGTCAGGAAAATACCAAGCTTTTTTCTGAAAAGTATAATTATTTCTACGCTGATATTTCTACAAATCCAGGGCAAAGCAAAACACAACTGGATTGACAATAGCTTATTTATTAAACTGGCAACATTATTTAAGAGACACAGTTTGAATGTCCACTGTGAACCTTTTGTCAGCACTGGTTCCTTCTCCAGATGGCCATGAGCAGCGAATACCACAAGCATCTGGTTTGCCACTGGCATCTTTGAAATGAGGGCACGACTGACATAAGTCCTGAAATTTGCACCGTTTTCTATGAGTGAGGACAAGAAAAAATATTTCTAGCAAATTCACTGGTACCAAATTACATTTAGATCTAGAGAGACAGCAAGTGCAACGTGTAACAGAGACATTGCGATTTTACACATACTCCACTTCAGCAAAGCAACAGTAATGATAAAAGGGAATACATATATGACAAGAAAATTTGGGATATCCAATGAACAAATCAATCATTTGACCAGTTATTGAGTTATACACTAGCTGCACTTGTGACAACAGTGACTTAATAGCTAGAAAAGGCACATCACTATGAATTAAACATACTGTATCAAAAATAAGGATAAATCACCAAGCCTCTTTGAGGCTCTTTATATGATATTTGTAATTCTTTCTTTAAATGCTGACATAGCTGTTTAAATGGGCCGATCCCCTTCTTAGGAAGCAAGTACATCAACCAAACACAGAAACACTAGGATTGCATCCCTGAGGTGCCAGACAACCTTCACCAAGTATAAAAATATCTCATAATAAACCATACTTGAGAACAAAAATACACAACAATAAACTATTAAATTATAAAATAGATTTCAGGGTTGAGATGAATTCCCCCAAAAATATATTTTGGTTTTATAAAGTTCAAAAGGCAGCATGGTTATTCACTGTGGAAAGATTGTCTTACATTGTCCCACTGTCCAGTACTTTTTTCTGCTTTATGCTGCCCCTCTGTAAAGTCCACATTTGAATACTGGAGGGTACTGAGCATAAAGCTCCAAGTGTCAGAGTCTTGCAGCTGCCTGACGTTCTGTATAAAACAGACCCATCTGAGGCCTTGGTCCTTCAGTCACCATGTAGTCGCTACAGACCAATGTGTGTCTAAGGCAGCTAACCCATAAATCCCCACTTCAAAAAGACCTGCTGAGGTCACAGGCAAGGCAGTGTAACCTTTCACCCCTCGCTTCCGACAGAAAGAGGCAGCTAAAAGGTGAGCTTACCATGCACAGGTGGAGCTTATTCTCTTACTGAATGGGGTATAGCTTATGATACCCAGAAGAATATGCAAACCAGCAGCGAGGGAGGAATTTCTTCCCAACTCTCCAATACCTTCCACTGTTCTCATCAGTGGGAGTTGCTTTTGCATGCTTGCTTATAAAGCTTCATAAGGGCCATGTCTCTTGCCCCTTCTAAACCAAGTGCGTCCTAAATTCAAGCAAGCTTTCTACAAAAAAGCCCCTTCGCAGTCCTCAGTAATAGCGATTGAGGCTCCGTGTCCCAGGGATGTCAGGTTGCCCGTTCATCCAGATCTCTCGGATGATTCGCTCCCTCTCCTCGAGCCTCTGCGCTCTTTCCAGCTCTTCCGCTGACGTGAACACATTCATGTTAAGTGTGCGTTCGAATCGCCGGTGCCGCCGTGCTGACAAGTCTGAGGTATTGTCCCAGTCTGAGTCTGAGTCACTGGAATCGGAGGACGAGTCCGCAGGGCGTGCTCGTTTCTTGGCAGGTGTCCGCTGGCGGGGTTGGCAGTCAGTGCGACAGGAGATCTGGACCACCAGGGCAAAGAGTGTAAGGAAGAGGCCCAAACACACACCGCAGACGAAGAAGAGCGCTGCCCTCTCTGGGTGGTCTGTTATAGGGGAGAAAGATAGAGAGCAAGAAAAGTTTATTTCTTACAGAAAACATGTCAAACATTTTATTGGATCTTTGTTACTGATGTTGGGTCTGGTATTTTCCTCTGACCTTCTCAGCCTGCTCTGTTTTAAAATATTTCACTTGATGGCTCACTCACTGTAATGAACATTGGCTGCAGACTTGTAGCTCATATTACTCACTTCCCCAGCATGATCCATTGGTTTCGCCAAAATGTCTATCAAATTCTGCTAACCCGGCTATGTAGTATGTTTCTCCTTCCTCTCGTTGGTTAATATGTCCCAACACCTCAAGCTCCAGATGGACAAGACTAAGCTGCGCTTCCTCTCATTGGGATTTTACTTTCACTGCTGACAGAACCAAAATGACACCTACTGTATTCCGTCCATCTAAGAATTTGGTGTGATCCTTCGGGGCCTGCTTCGCAGTCACTGCTTGTGTATCCCACTGGTTGCTCACATTTAATGTAACTGCAACACCCTTCAACCATGCCTTCAGATTGACTCAGCTCAGTACCTTTCTATTCATTTCTACTGAGGTTTTCACACATTAGACCCTCAGACAATTGTAATGTTCCACATGAAAAGAGCCTAACTGCAAATATTAGTAACACATGTGTTAAACAGATTCAGTTTAGTCACACTTACAGGTCATATGTTTTTTTGATTGGTGTTACTATTCCTCAGTACAAGGCATTCTATATATGCAGATCATAACATTAGATCGCAGCTTACAAATGTGAGAAAACCTTACATAGGTTTACCCTCCATTACACATTACAGTGCATGGAGTGTATGCTTATTTGACTGTATGAACTATGTATTTCACTATGTATAAACTGTTTATTTGAGTGGGAGGTAATAAAACAGGAAGTATCAAAACACTGAAACTATTGTAGCGTCGGTTCTAGCACCTGGCTGAAGCAGGTGACAGAGTGTGTATATGTAGTCGTTATCTCCGCCTAACATCTGCATTCCTCTGGCCCACATTTATCCACCTTTCAGTCCCAGGAAAAAAGGAAATGGGGGATATTACCAAAAGATAGCATGCCACACATGTGTACCACACATGTGATGTCACATAAGATTTTATGAAGGTTGCCCTACCTGATACGTAAGTGTAGGCTGCCAGTGCGTTGCTGATGAGGGCCATCTTGGTGCTAGAGGTGGAGTTGATGATGGGATTCATGCCTCTGGGCCGTAGAGGTCTTTCTCCTCCTCCTCCTGCTTCTGAAAACTTCTCCTCGTTGGGGTTTGTCTCCCTAACCTTCTTCCTATCTGTAAAAGACAACAGAGCAGGAAAGTTCAGTTTAACAACACAAAGCAGACTATATTCTAAGAGGAAAGTGAGTCGTTCATATAGCATTTCGATTCTGTATTAAGACACAGACGTTTTTGAAAAGTTTCATTTGTAGACAGAACATGACTACACGAGATAAAAATCTGTAGACCCACATACATATGCTCACAAGGAGTGTGTTCATTACCACACGTACAGTCAGACTTCGACGGCACTGGCTGGGTAATGTACAGTAAAATATGAGTGTACTGTCTCTGAGGTATAGTGACTACAGCATTCAGACTACTGAGTCATCAGCAGTCTCTCAGCAGTTTTCGATTTTTAGGAGATATGCTTCTGTTAAAAAGATTCATCACGCATTAAAAAACACACACATGTTCACAGGGAGTCGTGTGAAGATAGCACAACATCCGCTTCCGTCAAATTCATTCTGACTCAGGTCATTAAGAAATGGAGAGCCACATGGGAATAGTTTGCACCCTGGCAACATTTCAAAAGCTCCCCTCAAATCTCAGAAAACAATCTATTTATAGACAAAAGAACAACGGTTTCCTCCTCTGGACTTTCATCACAGCACAGCTTCCTTCAGTGTTTACACGCTGGCTCGTGCTGTCCATGCAAGAGTCGAGGAGTTGAGATGAGAGAACAGAGGAGCACAGAGTGATTTGATTACTTAGGTTCATACTGATTTTCTGAGCACAGTCGCCTCTAATTAACCTGAAGTGGGCTTAAGTGGGATGGTGTAACTACTGTAACTTTAGCTCCATGAATAAGCAATGCCTCAACTTAAAAAAAACAACAACCCTTAAGCTAAGACAGCTGAAATAAACAGCAGCATTTAGTTCAGTGGCGTAAGCCAAAACTCTGTGTGCATGTGTGAACAGTCATATTTACATGGTTGATTTTTTTTGTCAGTGTAGGTAAGTGTGTTTTGGTGTACTGACACACACACCAATGACCTCTAATTGCAGAGTCTCTAAGGTGTGTCAGGC